TTTCTTTGGAATTGTGATGATTATTCCTTGTTTCCATTTCGCCGGGATGCTGCCTGTGTCCCATACTTCTGTTATAATGGGGGCAAGTGTTTCCGCCGCAAATGATGGATCAGTTTTAAGTAATTCCGGTGCGATGCCGTCACTACCTGCGGCTTTGTTGTTCTTGAGTTTCTTTATTGCTAATCTGATTTCAGCAACTGATGGTGACTTTGTGCTGATACGAGATGATGTTGTATAGTCTATGTCGCAGTTATCTATTGTTGGGTCGTCGTGTTTAAAGAATTCTACCCATCGATTAAGTTGTTGTTGTTCCGTAGTGAGAATATGGCCATCGCTGTTCTTAATTTGTGGAATGCTTGTAAAATGGCCGGTGATCCTCCTGATACATTGGTATGTTTTGCGCACGTCCTTTTGTTCCGCCGCCACTTCAGCGTCATTGATGATGTTTTCTTCGAATTTACGACGATCTCTTCTTGCCATTTTCTTAATTTGTTTTTCTATGTTGTTATATCTTGCAAGGGTTACATCACTTCGGACCTGGTTTAGTTGCTGATTTAATGTTCTTCTTTGTTCGATTAATTCCCAGGTTTCATTCGTGATCCACATTTTACGGGTACTGTTTTTGATCCCGATGACTTCATTTGCGGATTCTACGTATGCTTTTTGCACTAATTCCCATTTTTCCTTCGCACTTATTGTAGGACTGATATTATTAACTTTGGCTGTTACAGTTTCACAGAAGTTCCGACGTTCGCCTTTATTCTTGAATTTTTCGATATTAAATTTCTTTTGTTTTGTTCTTGTTGTTATTATATTCATTGTTCTTATGCGTATTTTTGCCACGACTAGCTTATGGTCGCTATACATGTCCGCACTACGCATTGTTCGAACATCTAGAAGAGACTTCAGGTGTTTCTTGTCAATTAGCACGTGGTCGATCTGGTTACGTGTTACTCCGTCTGGTGCTTGCCAGGTATATTTATGAATGTCCTTGTGCGGGAATCGCGTGCTGCCGATGAAAAGTCGGTTGGCCATGCAGAGATCAATTAATCGCTCGCCGTTGTTATTGCGTGCTTCTCCAAGTCCATGGCGACCCATTATTTCATCGAGGTTGTTATTATTATTGCCGATTTTCCCGTTAAAGTCACCCATGACAAGTTTGATGTCTCTTTTGTGCGTTGAGGCGATTGTGGACTGCAGTTGATTGTAGAAATGATCTTTTTCGCTGTCGTCTGCTATTTCCGTTGGTGCATAGCATTGAATGATTGTTATATTGCGATTTTTGGCTCGGAAACGAGCGGTTATTAATCGGTCGGAGACTGGATTCCACTCCATTAATGATTTTTTAATTTTAGTGGATATAACTATTCCAACTCCATTAATGTGGGTGGTTGAATTGCCCGAATATATCATGTAGTGATTGTCTGACGTTGTAATGTCCCCGCTGTTCTTCCACCGCACTTCGCTGAGACCTAGGATCTTAATTTTACAGCGTGTCATTTCTTTGCTTAGTTGTGCCAAACGGGATGCCTGTGCCAATGTCCGGATGTTCCAAGTGCCAATTCGTATACCTTTTTGATAGCTAAGGTTCATTTCCGTTGTATCCGTCCGATATCCGAGGCTCGTATTCGTTTCTCGAATCAGCTTGTTTCGGGTTTGCGGGTGATTGGCCCACAGAATCCTATCCAGCCGTCAGAGTTATACTGACTGTCGGTCGGCCGGAGCAACCGGTGATGGCCGTTTTTGTTATTATTTTTATTTAGGAATTCTAGCTGGATTTGAACTCGGGATCTTTGGCATAGGAGGCAAATACTTTGCCAGTGCGCTACGGCCACCACTATACACTTTTTACAACTTCTTTATTAAATATCTCATTTACTTCTTCGGCAACGTATTATTTTTTTTGCTTTAAATGATAAATGAGATCCTACACTTTCAATGTATCAGTTTGTTATTTACTTCTTGACACATTCTGAAAAGATATATCTTTATAACTAATGAATTTTTCATATCCCCCATAAGACATGTGTATTAATCGGACTTTTCAAAAGCGTTTTTCCTGTGTTTGAAGTCGACAACCCTACCTAAAAACTTTATCTAGGGCTTTAGCTACTTTTAAAGAACAATATTTATATTTTTTCGTATTTTTCTAGTCACCTTGCCCTAACGATAGAACCTCCTTAACATTTTGTGTCAATATGTATCAAAATAAAGTGTAAAATATCTCGAAAACTATTGGTTTTTTGGTATCTCTACCTTAATACTTTTATATGCAAAATAATTAGAGGAATCACGTTATCTAAAAAAAATTACATAATTCCATTTAAAAAAGTGGAGGTGACCTTCATATCTTTTTAGCGCCTCCACCAAAAAGACAATTATTGACATCACATTATGTGCCCCTCGAAACCAAGCAACTTTTGTTTGACACTTTTTCTTCTATTGTCAAAAACAAGCGAGTTATTCAGGTGACCTGTTTTAAATGCCTCTCCCTGTATATATAATATATATATATATATATATATATATATATATATATATATATATATATATATATATATATATATGTATATATATGTCTATGAGCATAATTTACAGTCATAAATTAACGCAATTATGTCACTCCTGTGTTATTTGCTATAGATAAAATGAATCAATATTTTTAAATGCCATTTTCGAATTCGATTGTACTCGGTCAGGTACCGTGTAGGATCGCTCGTGTAAAACGCCCAATTCCTCTACATTCGCCTGTCCTGACTTTTGGCTGCTGCATGCATCCTATCGTCATTTACGAAGAGATGATGAGCAAGCAGGTGAGAAACGAGAGATGCCCAGGTGAGGGGGCTTCATGGACCGATGGTAACGGTAGATTACGGGACTCATTAGAATTCACGGTACGCTCTATACGTATTTACGTACGTATTATGTATATACGTCCGTCACGATGCAGGTTTTATTACAAGGTCCGGTTTCTTCGAGGAGCCAGCGCAAATGGGGCAACAGTCTTTCGCATCGGGGGAGATTCGCGATGTAACACAAACAGGGCAGGAAGTAGTACGATAATCTTAACCACCCCCCCCTCTCTCTCTGGGTCAGCAGCTGAAGTCATGATGACATACTCCCAGTAAATGCACAATGCTTACAACCGGCATTATTATTATAATTGCTACCACTACGAGAAATGTGAGCGTTAAAGAAGGAAAAAATGGCATAAAGATAATTGAAAGATGCGGGAGTCTTGCAGACATCTTTAAAGCATTTTTAATTGGCATCATTATTACGATATAGATCCGTGAATTTTATATTAGCAATAATTTATTATCTTAACCAACGACTCATATATAAAAAAGATTCATAGAAAAATTAGAGAGATTAGTTTTTACATGACAAATTTGTAAATTTTGCGTTACAAAAATGTTTTATGTAATAAGCAAAAATAATGACATGTGAGTTAAATTATTTCTAAAAAAAAAAAAAATGTTATATTTTCTTTAGAAAATCTAAAACCTCGACGTTGTTATGTCTATCTTTGTACGACGTATAGTAACGTGGATTATCTGTTATCCATTATCCTCGATCGACCCGGAAATCCTGGCAGACAGGATAATTCTTATAAGTGTACGATACGTCGTAAAGATAAATTACATAGCGATGAGCACCCGCTCGTAGATCGCGCCAACGATCCTCGACCGACTCTATAGATATGTATAAACGCAAAAACGCGTTGATTTTATTGCAATATAATGGCGCGCGAGCGTGCGTGTGTGGATCAGTTTCCAACGCACGCGTGATATAACTTAACGACGACGTTACGCTTAAGGGAGCCAGTCAGCTCGTGGACGACGTTCCTTCAGTCGATGGACACTCAGTAGCTCACCTGAAATACCATTTGCACCTGTTCGAAACCGGCTCGGAGAGGCGGCCAGTCTAGTGAACTCGATTGAATTCCGAGACCGGATTCTGCGAAACGGTGCGACCGTCCACTGCCCCGATTTGCTTTTTCATTTGCCGGCTGGAATATGTGTCCTGCCGAGGCTTTTGGCATGAGAAAGAGAGAAGAATGAGTACGGAAGGAGGATGATGCTCGAATCGTTCTTATACTCCAGCTATCCGTAAGCAGATTTCGATTAGATACGTTTTGTATTATCGGCTCGAGCATATAACTATAAATGAGCAGACTAATTTGACTCATCCGCGCCGAATATCAGTCTAGAAGTATTCAGATGTCTTAAAAAGAGACGATACGGAAATTCATCGAAAGAGATATTTATCGTCGATGAAATTCATCAACTGCGACAGTCTTATCTTCCGTAGTCAGTCAACGAATTCTCATCATCGTGATATATACTAGTTCATCCAGATCTCATTGACCGAAGACTCAAACGATTGCGATTTGCGACGAAGACATTTCATTAACTAGAAGTATATTTCTTTCAAGAAATCTTCGATGATGTGTTTCGTTCTGTAGCTATTAATCTATTTATCAGCATACATCTTTTTAATTTATAATAATTGAGCAAAACATCTTCGATTCCGGAGTCAAATGTCTTAAAAAATTTTCAAGAAGAAGAAGATATATAATAATAGGAAAACAGATTTATTATAGACAAAATTATAAAATATCTAATAAATTGATAACATAAACGTTTTATGTTGAAATTCAGTATACATAGCTGATAATCGATTAAATTAAATAAGAGCTATGTGGAATTATGCAACGATGTCTTTTGATTTAAAAAAAAAATGAAAGACAAATTTATTCCGTTTATCTCGGAATTTGTTTCATGCATCCTTATACTCTTGCCGGAAAAATTTCTTTCAAGAAATAGCATTCTAGCGTCGCATCGATAAGATTGTCGACCTATTCGAGGATTTTAATGCCGGAAATCGCTCTATATCATGACGTTTTGAAAGAACGTGGTGTTTAGAATGAGTCCTGTCGGTCGTCTGGACGGAGAACATTCAGAGATGCTTGCGACTTGTGTGGACTTGACGAACGTTTAGAAGCTTGGAACGGCCGGCGGCGCATCGATGGACGCGCTTGCCGAATTTCTCGGTTTACAGACGCAACCGCTCTCCACCAGTACGTAATCCTGGCCGGTCAAGGTCACTGGACCGAGGGGAATCACCAGAAACAGGTACGGTACGTAAGTCTGCGTGCACTCGCCGTGAACCACATCGCATTCCTTCGATCTGAAACAACCGACCGATGAGAAAGATTCTGTTGAGTTCGTTCACCGGGTGAGAGGCTGTTTACGGGTTGCGTTTGTAGCGATTCCGTAGCGCTTGAATACGTAAGCTAACGTAACTTGGTGCGTAATATACGTGCCTTCACGAAATAGGATGCATGTATATACGAAGCTGCTCATGTACTCTACGATATTCGCATCTATCTTTACGAGATGGTTCTTTTCGAGTAGCATTCAAATAAAAAAAAAGAAAAGAAATTCTTTTATTTTCTCGTATGACTCTATCAATTTCTGCATCACGAGTTTCTCAGATACATACAATATATTTCGATGCATATCCGCTAGTAAAAATATAATTATGTGTATTCTTTACGTATACATTTACAATAATTGTGAGAGAACTTCAATTGCATCGTTCAATATATGTATGACATTAATTAATATAGTTTATACTAATAGAATCATGTTTGAGTTATCTGGGAAAGAATTTCGTACAAAAAAAAGATCTTAAAAGTAGGTGCATGTCGATCACGAACACATAGTTGTAAACCAGTTCGTTCTACTGTGCCACATTCGAATTAATTCAGCGGGTGGCCCAGGTGAATTTTAATCTTGATGTCCCGCTGCTCTTATAAATCACCGTTCAAAAATTCGTACAATATGTTATGTCAATAATACTGACCAAATACGAATCCCATTTACATAAATTAACTACACAAAGTGTATTATATCTAGCAAAATGCGTATATATGGAATGCTCGAAAAACCATCAAGTGTTTTAAGATAAATGGAATTAAAATTTGCTTTGTTATAAAATTTCCAAGCAAGTCTATCTATGAAGAGTTACTTTAGTTAAATATACTCTGTTGAAGATAAAAAGACTTCGCGTATAACAATCTCTCTAAAAGTATAACAAATTATAAAATTTTTTTTCAGTGAATTTTAGACTGAGAAAACTTTGGACGTAAACATAACTACGTAAGCAGAAACTTCATAAAACTCGTTAAAAAATTTGATGCAGAAAAATTAAGAAGCCGCGGAAAAGTTAATTACAAATTTCTCGAGAATCCGAATATCACGATACTCACTCGCAGACCTCAAAGACGACTTGCTGCAGGAGATCGGGGAACTTCTGCACGATCGTTACTGGTTGTCCGCTGGTAAGGCTGATACCGTACATAGGAGCCGTGGTATTGTACCTTGTTTTGCAGAGCCTGGCGGGCGAGCCGCAACTTTCCTTCGCGGAAAACGCACGGCCTGAAAACCCAATGACGATCATTTCGTGGGAATATAATTTTTTTTTCTCATTACGTTGCAGGACATTATAATCTTGCATTATAATCTTCGTGAATCGTAATTCTCTCGCGAATTGTACTTATTTACGCACAAATATATTTAACATAAAACGTTATTGCGGTTTATTGATAGCACTATAGAACGTTATAATACGGTATAGTATACGAGATGATCCCGTAAGAATACGGGATTCATACGGAACCCTATGGAATTACGAAAATTAAAAACAGCATCTTTACAAGTATATAGATCATTACGCCAATGTTCCATGCACATTCAGAATGCGCGAAAAGTTTCGTCGTTTAATCGTAATAAAAATCTTTCCTTTTATAGAAAAAAAAAAGATAATTTTTTTCTGTAGAATGTTTAAAGAATAAATCAATACTCATACATAATTCTTTTTTATAAAAGTAAAAAGAATACTTATTAGCATTTAATAAAATAAATAATGTTTCTTATTTCAAATGTTTATTCTAAATTTAAGACAATACTTCTCACAAACGAGTAATATGTCTAAAGTTTGCTTAAGAATATAAATTCTTTATATTCGAACTTGATTTGGACACATTTGATCAAGTGTGTGATATTAAATCTATTGATTATTAAGATCTACTATAAACGGAGTATAGTGACCATGAACAATTGGTGTTAAGTCGAGAGATTCGCTCTCGGAATCAGCGGCCTTTGTCGAGCATTTCGAGACGAGAGCATATATGCTTGAAACGACGAGTGTGGGTCGTCGGCGGGTCCCGTTATGAGCACAAGGAACGATAACTGTATTGGCTGGATAACACGATGCTTTATCCTTTATTGCTGACCCATCGGTGTTCTACCGACTGACTATTATCGGGAAGATCGAGCACCACGATCTGCGGTGACGACCCTTGAATGGAAAACTCGCGCGGATCATCTCATCGGTCGCGCGCGAATTTCACAAAAACTCCGACGACCCGCCAGGAAGCATGACGAAGTGGGTTAGAAGTCAGGTTAGAAGCGGGTTTTCGTGTCAGAACAGCCGCATAACTGAAGGCTGCAGGGCAGCGAGCAAGTTCGTAAATGGCTGTGCCGATCGGTACCCACTTCGCGACCGGCCGTTCCAATTTTCGTGGAGTCTGCTCGTGGGACCCCAAGTGCTGTTCATCGCTGTTCAGCGTGCGCCGCGAGGTTTTTTTCGAGGTCTTCGGTTGCGTGGGAACAGGGTCGTTTTATGCGAATACCGAAGCAAGAACGCTCGCGCTTCCCGGATAATTCGCGTTTGCGGAATATGGTCTCGCGTTCAATGGAATAGGCTTTCTCGCGATAAATCCTGGAAATCATTTTCTCGAAGCTGAAACAAGTAATAAAACGAAAATTTTTCTATTTATCAACTTTTACTTTTATTTCTTAATGTTCTTGTCGATCGTTGAATCATCGTTGTGTCAATAATTATTTTTAAGATTCTAATACGTTTGCTTTTGTGGACAGTATAAGGTTCAATCTTTTCAATTTATTCAATCAAGATAAGAGCAATTTATTTATTTACGTGTTCATTTCAAGAAATTAAGAGAAATAAAAATGATTATTGATTTTATCATTTCTAAATTTCCGTTTGTACTTCATGTACCGTAAGATCAAAACACATTTATTTTTGTGAATATGATTTAATCCTCCTTCTTATAATTTATTCAATCAAGATAGGAGAGATTTATTCATTTATACGCAAGAAGTTGAGAGAAACATAAAACGGATTTTTTCATTTTGTAGCTCTCGTTCATATATACCTCAGCACGCGGCGAGATTAAAATAAATCTCAACACAAAACAAAGAAGGAAGCGAAATTGCAAATGCAGATATAAAACTGGTCGACAGGAGATTATAACAACATTGTAAACAGCGTCCATTGGGTCACAATATATTATAATTAGCAATTGCAACGCATTTAGATAAGGACGTGAAAAATAGCAATTCACGAGCATTAGAATAACAAGATAATTAAAGCAATTCTAGGATGTCGAACTCTGTCTCTTGTGCGGTTTGGAAGCGAAAGAGAATATCGTACGTTCCATGATGAGGAGAACACGGTGAGTGTTAAACGCGGACTTACCGTTCCGGAAACTTCCGGCAATAGAAAAGTCTCCGTGGGCCGCTTTGTAGTTGTGCAAAAGCGCTTGCCTCGTCAGTTCGGGATCAATCGTCCGTAGCTGATGCGATCGCGCGGTTCGACTACTGCCCGCCCAGAGATTCTTAAAGCTCCTCGATATCGCGGCGCTGCGAGAACGGTACACATAACATCCGTTGCAGTCTGCCTAGCTATTATTAACATTTTCTCTTACATGCTACCGGTCGATAGTTTGAATATAATTTGCTCGTCGAAACATAGTTAATAGTTTTCAGGCCATTGTGTACTTAACTCATTCTGAAGATGTTCTCCCATCAATCATATTAAAGTGAAAAAACGATTAATAAAGATTTAAGCGTAAATTTAAGCATTTTGGATAAATGTGGTTTTTGCTTAAAATTATTAGTAATAACAATAAATCGGTATTTTATTAATTTATACAAAGGATTTTAATTATATATATCTTTATACGATTATCATAATTATTTGAAAGAGACGATTTCAATCACGAAATCTATAAATTTAGATTTCGTAAAATATGATTTTTGTAAAATAAATCATTTTTCATCTCAAGCTTGGCTTAGTAATCAAATCATTTGAATAACGTATACATCATTTAAGATTTTATCTCAAATAATATTTGAATTGATAATCTCTCAGCGAGAACTGCAAAATATTCAAACTATCGGATATTTAAAGAAATTAAGTTATTAAAAAATTTAAGTTATTAAATAAAAATAAAATAAGTTATTAAATAGCAAAAATGTTTTAAAAAATATTTTAATCCTCAAGACATTTTAAATACTTTTTAGACTTCTTCTGTGGATTTATTTTAGCCATAAAAATTTTTTTATACTTTTATTGAATTTGTGTTCTTACTACTTACGAGGGATACTGCATGTTATTCGGCCCTATACAATCACTGGAATCGGTGAGTGCATCACCCCATACGTATTGTAGACCTAGACCGTTACCCTCGCACTTCCTGGCACCGTATGTATAAGTAAAAGCCATGATAATAAGTATCAGACCGAGATATCTGGACATCTGAAATAAAAGAGAAAATACTGACGTCTTAAGAATGAAATGCTCGAAATAATTGGATGTGACACGTTCTTTAATATGACTAAATGGACATAAGGGAGCTCTTATATTTATTTTAACTTCTGAAAAGTCACGTTCTATAGAATTGAATGCTCGTCTTGAGATTTCAATACATCGCTGAGTAATATGCAGTGCCTAAAGTGATATAGTTTCGCATATACATATCCTTATATGCTAGATATTATGTGTAGATATTCTAGCATCATTTGCAGTAAAAGATCAACGTAACATAACGTCGTATTAGATAAAGTGATAGACGCAAGAAAGAGGCGCTTCGCCGCAGGCGAACTCTTGCCGGGAAGGGTATTATCTTCTTGTTAATAAGGATTGATACCACTGACGATGAACTCAAGCTGCGTCAGCATGCGTAGGCTGGATAAGAAGGCAGAGCGTGAAAGAAGAACGTAACGTGTGAGCGACGAGCGAGCGGTCTTGGAACTCGAGTTCGCAAGAGGTCAAGAGCAAGAATAAATGACACACACGCAGGTGTGAGCACGCATTTCACAGCTCGAGAGAAAATTCCGCAACGGTTTCCTGAATCGAAGCCGCTGTGTCGAGCGAATCACTACTTTCGAGATATTCTCCAAAGCGAATCTTAGAATTACGATCAATAGACAAATTATTTTTATAAACACGATCTATTCATTCTCAATGATATGCGTGGATGCGAAATACAGAAAAATAAGTATATTATCGATGAAGTCAAATGTAAAAGAATAAACGTAAATTTCTATTCAAATAATTTTTTTAAAGAATGTAATTAAAGGAATTTTTTTCTGTAGAGCAAGTTGTCATTATTTGTCGTCACATTTCAATATCAAAATAATAACGTCAAATTAATGTCGTAATTTGTTATTAAATATCGAAGAAAGATGATTTGATAAATAAAAACTTGACTACAGAAAAAGAATATTCCTCACTATAGCAACTGTAATTGATAGAAATATCTAATTTCCCTAGTCTATAAGATATTATATATATGCTCTCTTCGCAAATGAGAAACTGCAATTTTACCGGAAAGTGAATATATGAATATATCTGATGTGAGTTCCATTAGACTTCAATTATATTTTATCGATCACATTTTTTTTTTTTTTTTCAGTTATCGTAGTTTATCGTTCTAATTAATCCTTTTACAATGTGAGCACCACACATACGAGTAATTTGATGTAACAGATAATCGCCGGAAAATCACTAGTTCTCGTGTGGAGCTCTCGAAATCTACGTCGAAAGAATTTCCATTTTGCAGGTGAAGTTCACCCGTAAAAAAAAATTATGTCGACTAGAATTATTCTTTTCCCTTTCGCGACGCCTCGTATGTGGTGCAATGAGAATTGCAATGATGTATGTGAGGCAGGGAGGGAGTGGATGGTGTTTGGAGGGGGGGAGGCGAGTGGAGGAGGTCCGGTGGGCCGATGATGGTGAAGGTGCGAGTGAAAGGTGAGAGAGGATATCAAAAAGTTGTAATAACGAAAAAAGTGAAAATCCGGCGAAAGAGAGGAGCGGCGGGGGTGGGTGGTGGTGTCAGGGGAAGGGGCGGAGGCAGGATGTCCGGTGGACCGAAGATGGTGGTGTTGCGAGTGAAAGGTGAGAGAGAATGTTAATAAGTTGTAA